TTTAACACTGGAACACCGTGCTTAACATGCATATGTTGTTCATACAGAAATTCAAGCAGGGCTGAATTTTCCAAAGTCGAAACTTCCACATTTTATCCCACAGATGCCTTAAAATATTTGTGTCTATTTTAGTGGTTTTGTATGCATACTCCTAAATAGCATAATTTCAATGCTGTGCTGAATGATTTCACTAGAATTTAGATTACACTTCAGTTACAAACCACAGTTTTAATTATGGCACAGATGCATGTAGATGAGAATAAAAAAATAAGATCATTTGGGTTATATTTAACCACTATGTTAATTTCCTTCTTCCCCGTGCTATGATAATGTAAACAGCAAATGAAGGAGCTTAGCTTGCTGAAATGGTTATTTAAAACTTAAAAATAAATGTTAAATCTTAATCTATCTCCTCAAGATTTCTTTATTACAGGCATTAACATAACTGCTGTTCTCTGAAATTTATTTCATTTTAATATTGTAACTGAAAATATGCAATATCTTATTCAGCGAGGATGTAATTTGCTCTTCTGTGAGCCTCTATGTTGTATTGTAGTGTTTGGATTCTCGTGCATCTGCTTTCCTCGATTAGTATCTTTCCTAATGTCTCAGATCTGTTTTCTTTCCTCTCCATGCAATAAAGTACAGAATTTTTCTATTTTAGACAGCACATTATTCAATTCTCTTGGCATACACTGCTCTGATTTTTATTGGCTTATTTGCTTGAAAAGTGCTTCAGTGTTCTGAGAAATTTAGGTTTGTTTATGTTGTGAGATCTTGTTTTCAAAACCTGCAAAATGATCTGTCACTATTTTCCTATTGACATTATACTGATCTTAATGTGGTTTTGGTGGGTATCAATTTGAATTTGAGCAAATATTCCTGGCAGAAATTTTAAGACGATTACAAGAAATTTGAAAGCAGTAGAGAAGAAAACATTGTCTTAAGCATCTTCGTATGTCAGATATCACAATATGGTCTGTCTAGGAGAACCTCACAGTACAAAAAGGAATGCAAAGAGGACAGCTTGGATGGATGTAAAATTACTGGATCAAATTGATTTAAATTAACAGGCAGAAAGCTTTAATCAATTTAAATTTTACTTGTTATTGAACTTTTTTAAAAGCATGTTGAGAGGCCTGTTCCCTGAATTTTTAATATCTCCTAGGAATGGAGATTCTGCAGCTGGCTGGGGCAACCTGTTCTGGGGCTTAACCAGCCTCACTTAAAAAATACCCAACAAAACACAACACAAAACAGAAAAAGCAGCCTAACTTCTTTTTTTTCCGGTCAGATTTTCCTGTGTTCGTACTTTTCCTTGTCCTATGGCTATGCATCTTCAAGAACAGCCTGGTTCGCTCTTCTCTACTCTCACATTAAGTAGCTGTGGACTGTAATAAGATCTCCCTTTTTTTCTTTTATGGCTGCACGGACTCAGTTTTCTTAGCTTTTCCTTGTAATATCACATGCTCCAGCCCTCTGATCATCCTGGTGGCTCCTTCCACTGGACTTCTTCCCCCATTCTCAGCTAGCAGGGCAGGCACTAAAACCTTGTGTGTGTTCCAATCAAGGGGCTGTGGCTGTCAGGTCATCTAGCAGCCCTCAGGTGGGATGAACACCCTTGTCTGGTATGGAGGCACTCCAAGGCAGCTGCTCTAACCAGCTTCCTCTGGATAGTGCTTGAGGGGCATTTAATCATTGCCATGAAATTTACTGTTTTGAAGATACTTGGTACTACATAGTGTTATGTTTTGATTTAGAAGAGACATACTGCAATATGCTGAAATCACAACACAAGCATGACACAGCACTTGAAATATACATTTGGATCACTATGCCAAAGCGATTCCCATTACTGATCTGCATCTGCCCACTGTCAGGATGGTGGGCATCTCCCGTTCACCAGGAAGGAATATGTGTGCTAAAGCTCTCTCAAGCCTATAGTTCTCTTGAGAGCTCCTTCTGTTGCTTTTTCGGTTTTACGCTTTTTGTGGGACTGAGCCATGTCACATACGTACTTCTCCCCCTGCTGGCCTGGCTAGCCGGGGGAGACCTTACATGCTAGTAATTATTTTAGAAAAGGCTGTTTGCATAACCTGATGACTTACTGGTACAACCATATACCTAAAGGAAAAGTCATCCTCCAGTCCCCTTTAAGTGGAGATAAATTTGACTTCATGCCACTAGATGCTCATTCTTGTATTTCTTCCTCGACTTCATCACCCGTGCCCATCTCCTCTGAGCCTTCTTTCCTTGTAGAGGTTTGTTCATCACTCAGGCAGGCTCTGTCTCTTTGGCACTGTTGTAAATGTATTCCTGGTGAGCTGGTGGGCCTGTGAGCACCTGGAGAGGTGCCTGCCAGTTCCAGCTGCTCCTCACTTCCAAACTCAACACAGGTTTCGGTCACGTGAGGTGAATGTGTCCAGCTGCACAAAGATGTACAGAGTCATAATGCTGTCAGGAAAAAACAGGAGGGAGAAAAGCTGCAGGTATCATTAGTACCCTCAGCCCCTGACATACTCCTGGCAGGTACCTACAGGGCTACAAGAGAGGGCAGCAACCTCATTTACAGGTTGATGATCTAGTTGAGTTGTGAAAGGCTTGAATCTACTCCAATGACAACAGGGACCCAAGTTCCAGACGTTAAGTAGATCCCTCCTGACTATGCAGGTGACATTGCAGGTGAATTTTAAAACAAATACTTGCACCTGGTCACAGTCCTTTTTTTCTCAGTGGGGTTGGAAAGATGTATTTGGCATGATGGATGCACAGAGCTGTGGGAATAGGCATGTCACTACAGGAAGGAGAACCAAAAGGAAATAACCAGGGAAGAGTCTTCATGGCTCGTAAGGGTTAAAGCATTTGCTCTAGAAAATCTAAGAATCATTCTGAGATTCATCACCACAATTTTGACACAAAGAAAGAGAATACCTAATTTCTTATTTGCCATCTGTAGTAATAACCTGTTCAGTTTTCTTTGATTATAAAAAAAAATAGCCATGTTGAGAGTATATTTTCATAGAACATATTTTCAAGAAATCGGAGATTTTTTTTCACCTCTGCATTTCTTGCAGTACAAAGCAGTATGCGCATTACAGTATTTTTGATCTTTAAAGGAAAGTTATGATACCCTCTACTGGCTATTTTTGGAACAGATCTGAGCTATAACTGACCAGTTTAGAGTCAGCAGCAGTTAAACTTAATCTGTACTGCAGTTTTAATGTAGTCTTTTTTTTTCTTTTCTTTTTTTTTTTCTGATGGACTTGTGAGGAGTTTCGGTTGTTTTGGTATTTTTTCCCTCTTTAGTTCTGTCCCTGGCTTCAGCAGAGTAAATCTGACTGTGATGGAACTGTATTTTTGAATGCAGGTTGTTATGGCTTTCAGACCAACACTTCTATAGGTACAAATGAAAATAGCTGGATGTTATCACAGCTCTTGTTGCCTAGTAACCAAAGCCCAATGTGTAATTCAACGAGATAAATTTGATGCACTTTGCTTCTCTTTTCCTTTTTAGCAGCAGAATGTAAAATACATTTAGACTTGAATGTTTTATTTTCTGATAAATAAAAGGTATTGAAATCTCTAACTTTACAAGCTCAGTTACAGTGATCTCAGAACTGATGCAAATTTCCCATAATGAAGAGTAATCTGGTCCTTGTAACATTCCTTTACTGTTCATATAAGTATGCCAGGGTAACTGTGAATACAAGTATTAAATTATGTTCTCCATACCATACTTAAATTTCATGTTTCCATTTTGTATTCTGATTTGATGATGGTTTTACAAATTTTTCTACTGGAAAAATTTATGAAGTCAAGGATTGTTCTCAGAATTATTTGCTCAACTATACTGATAATGTGCCTAAAATTATCTAGGACTGTCCTTGAATTAGTTACCGAATTTGTGATCAGGTATGAAATGTTTGCTTCATTGGGGCAAGCTGTGTAAATAAATACTTGTAGATTTCTGGCACTGATATTTGCTATGTAAGGTAATGATTATATCTTACCACAGAATTAACTATCAAATGAATTTATCTAGTCACTATTATAACTAATCATACTGTGTTCTGGTAATATAAATTGTATTAGTGATATTATCATAACAATTACATAAATGTGCTAAAACAAAACTATGTCACTGTACTCTTTCAACCTTGTAATTAATAACCTTTAAGCTTACTAAAGTTGTTTGGAATTGTGGCACACTGACATTTATGCTTTTTACATATTTTCCACTTACTTTGTTACACTTACTAAATATTTTCAAGAATTATCTAAGATTTAAACTAATTTTTAAGTATTTTGCTTAGCAGTAGTCTATGTAGCTGAGTGCAATCACATTTGTGTCTTTTCTTCATTTCTCTTTCATTAACACTTGATATTCAAACCAAACTCTTGTTAAATCTATGATCCTTTATTTTCCCTGTCTATATTGATTGCCAGACAATCTTGAATTATTATTCTTCCAAGATGGTCACAGACTTCTGGGGAAGTCTGAATTCTTTCCTTACTGGAATCTCTTGCATAAAGATACTTATTTTTGATGGTAACAAAAAAATGGGACAGTGTCCAGTTCTTGCATGCAAATAAGATTTACATATTCTATCATGGTCTAGAAAACTTTCTTTTAAAAATATCCAACACCGAAGGCTTGGAAATGAGATGTAATTGTGAAATACTGGGAAATGCAAGAAGGGAACTTGTGAATGAATATTGGGAAGAGTTTAAATAAAGCATGAGTTACAGTTTGTGGAATGAGTTCCCCCAGTGATCACAATGGTAGAGATGTTGCTTGTTATTCTAAATGGAATCTGTAGGGAGGTGAAATCATGCTCGTGCTGGGTTTTAATTTCTTCAGTTGCATAATGCTGAAATCTTCCTCTTTGTTTTGGTCTTGGTTTTTTAATGGTTTATTTTGCTTTCTTAATATTGACAATACTCTTGTATAACATCAGAATTGAATTGGGACATTAACCAGCTCTTGCTTCTCCTTTCAGGTACTGCTCCCAGCAGCTGGTCTCTTGCAACTGCAGGATGTGAAGAGGACTTGCTGTGAATTTTTGGAATCTCAGCTTCATCCTATCAACTGCCTGGGGATTCGTGCTTTTGCTGACATGCATGCATGCACAGATCTCTTGAGCAAGGCCAACACATATGCAGGCAAGTTATCATTAGTGGAGCACACAACTTGATATGTGTCAGTGTGGGTGGGTTCCAGAGGAACCTGAGTTTTCTCCAGGGTATTGAAGACATGTATCTCCTGTTGAAAACTGCATTTGATCTGAATGCCTTCAAGAGAAATAAAATGTGCTGGCTGGCCCATAGTTATGTTTAAGCTGAATGAGGCAGCATCTTCACAGACTATTCCGACTCTGCAGGGTACAAGACATTTCCAATCCAGAAAGAAGCTAGCTTAAAATGTTTAAAATCTTGCACCGTCACTTAGGGGAGGAAATTGGGAAAGAAGAATTAAAATTCTGACAACTACCGTAAGTCAAAGTATGTAGGAATTACATGGGGGAAGAAATAAGAAAAAGGCATTGGAAAGAGGGGTAGCCCCTGCACTGCACTAGTGAAGAAGGAAGAAACGTAATGTTGGGTATTATGTAATCAACTTATCTTCTGAAAATGCTGCTCATGTAGCCAAAGACCTGAAATTTCTTATTATAAAGGGTACCTATAGTCTCATCCACTTGAATCTTGTATTTCATCTGTCTCTCCAGCTCCCCTATTTTCATGCTTGGTACTAACCTTATCATTCCTCTGTAACCAAACCACCTTCCATTTCTGTCAAATTCCCCCCCCAAAAGCTTGCGGTATTGTCATCATATTCTTGGAGTACTGCTGGCTTGTATGACAAGCTGCCAGCTCAACTCCTACTGGGTATTTGCTGTGTCTGTGCGGTGGAATTTAAAGCAATGCACAGTTTGTTCTTACTCTTGAGATAAATGTGCTGTGTATAGTCAGAATGCATAGTCAGGTCCACTCTTTGCTCTGCCTTCCTCTTCCTAGCACTGTCAGGCTTAGATCAAGAGCAATAAAAAAAAAGAGAATTAAAAATTAAATGTCCTGATAAGGCTGTAGAAAAAAATATGTATGACTGCATTGCTTTTCATGACTTTCCTTAAATGTACAGTGACCAATTAGCATAATTAACAATTAGTACAGAGTTAAAATTGAATATTTTCCTGAAATGGAGCACTAAGTGCTTCAACTCAAGTCCAAATAATAGGCTTTTTATTGCCTTGAATAAATTTAGACCTCAGAAAAGCAAGGACTTTGATGAATGCTTTCAGTTGTCTTCATTCCTAGAAATGCTGATTTGTGGTATAGAATTATTTTAACTCACAGAAGATTATAGTATTTCTATCAAGAATGATTGATATGTCAATTAAAAAAATTCAAAAGCTTTTCAGATTGTTTTTGAAAGTACTAGCTTTTGTAATGCCTACCTTACAAAGCTGTGATGTGTACATGACTGAATGACTTTGTGATATTTCTATTTAGATATCTATGCAAAAGATTTTAATGAAATCTTTTTGTCTTTGAGTTATACATTATTAAATTCAAAAAGCTATTATATTTTTTGAAATAGGAAGCAAGACATACATTTATTAACTAGAGTTAATGTTCAGATATTTAACATTTTAGGGAACACGTTTTGATATAGCTGTTGCTTAATTTTGAGTTTTAAATTATTTTTTTCAGCTTCTATTCTGACTGAGCCTTAGTTACTTCTAAACTAAACCTCTAAACTACTTCAGTTACTTCTAAACAATCTTTGTTCTGTTTAAAAGTTGAAGCTAATATTTGTATAGATTACTTTCTAGAAATAAAGATTCTAAGACACTGGCAAGGCCTTGAGTGCAGTATTGGTTAAATGTGTTTTGAGAGCACAGGAATTGTGTCCACTTGTTAACTCTCCTTCCCTGGGTCATTTTGTTCAGGCATCCTTTGCTGTGCATAGAGAGTGTCTGCAAGCAGAACACAGACAAGAGAAAAGAGAAGGGAAGTTGGGACATGCAAGACACTAGGCTGTGCACCAGAATGCTCAGTGCTCCTGATAAAAAACCCCATTTCTCCTTGGAATTGGCTGATCATCAGTCTTGCTGAATTTCTGTCTGCTGACTCCATGATTTCATTTCATACAGTTCTATACCTTTTCAGGTCAATGTTTTTGCTCTTGAATTTTCAGGCTACTTACTGACTTTATCTCAGCTATCATAGCTTCTTTTTTCCCCCTGTTCTTATCTCAAATGGCTGTTTGTACTTTGTCACAGGTTTCTTAAAACTTAAAAAAAAATTCTCAAAAATCTGAGCCAAAAATACATGGCTGTGCCATTTCAGAGTTAAGCTTTGTATCACAGGCAGCTTAACTCCCAGAGCACACATTTTTGGATTAAGGCTCCAGAAATTAGAATGAGTACAGAAAATGATTATTAGATTAAAAAAAACAGTGAAAATATTTCCCTGCTAGAGAAAATGAAAAGTATTTTGTTTTGTAACTTCTCCCAGTCTTTATTTTGTTACACTTGCTATTTTAGATTTAGAAAAAAGAGGCAGTGAGATAGTTCTGCTAATAGACAATGATAATATAAAAACAAATGGATACCAATGGATTAGAAGTTATTAGAAAAGTGAAACTCTAGAACTTCCTTCCAGTGGAAATGAAAATGCAACTTCCATTAAATTTGGAGTTTCATATTCCTGTGGAAGGTTGGTCCTTTGCAGCAGAGAGCAAGATTTCTAGGAGAGTCATTTATATGCACCTGTGATCTGAAAATAGTGGACAATTGATACTTGGAAAAGGTTACTTGGCATGAGCTTCTGTTGCAATTTAACTTGGAGATGCCACATGTCCTCATGATGTTCCAGCAAGCAGTCCTGCCCTGGCTCTTGTTACACTGGCACAGTCAGAGACTGTGTACAGCTGAGGTCTCTCCTCCTTCTTTTGTGAGGATTCCAAGGAAGAGTATGTGGCATGAGCCACAAATGAGCCCTGCTAGTCTGTCCTCAGCTTTGGTCTGGGATATACCTTATGTAGTGTTAAAGGATGTTCACAAAATAACAATTTTTCCTGAGAAGGCAGTGCATTATGTAGGTGTTGTAATGTTACAAACTGAAGATAAATTGGTAAAGCCTTTTAAAGGAGGGGTGTGCCATCTTGGACCAGCTCAGTGCTTATGCCCTTACACATTTCTTAGTTTTAACCAAAGAATAATAATGTATTTCACCCACTGCATAGGGCAGTACAGGCACTGGGAGACCTGTGGCAGTGGTGTCCTTTTGAGGCATAGCACAGTGAATCTTTTTGTCTTTTAGCACTGTGCTGAGATGTTAAAGAATCTTTTGTTAGGGAACCCTAGCGTGTTTTGTGATCAGGGATTGCTGCATTGTATTTGGGATAACAGCATTCTTGATTCTGGTGCTCTTAGCCTAAAACTTGAGCCCTGGCAAGACTTGGAAGCGTGCATGTCTTCTGTGGACTGTTCTTGTATACATCCGTATGCCTGGCATGGAAAGGATGGAGTTGTCAGAATCATTCCTATGATTCTATTCTGAGTAGCAACGTCTGTTGCTATGCTGCTGTTGCCTTGGCTGTTGTGAATTTCATGGTGTTCTAAAAAACAGTTATTTAAGTATAAAATTTGCAAATAAATCAGATTTTTTTGAAAAAATGTGATTCTGCAGTTTTAGCTTCTGCTGGTTCTCCAATTGGCAGAGCTTGTGTCTCTCCCTCTGCAATACAGCTGGGATTCCTGTTTGACCAGGCCTTAAAATAGGCCAATAGCAAAGGACTTTAGTCCCAAGCCAAAAAAATCTCATTGTGACATTGTGAATTAATCCATAAATGTTTAAAGCATAGAATCTCCTGTGCAGGTTTCAGATATAGCTTTCCTTCCTATGTAATTGAAAAATATAAAGTTAATGTCTCAATCAGTGTAGCCAGATTTGTATGCCTTTTGGATAGAAGAGATGTCAAGTTCTTTTTGCTGAATGTGCACGTATAGCTCCAGACTCAGAACAACAAATACCAAAAAGTGGTACATTTACAGCTCCTGTTTTCTTTCTATGCTCTCCACACTGGCATTGTTTATTGTACTTCCAGACATTTTTCCTGTTGTTAAAGACTTCTTTTTGTTTGTCCCACGCTGCTGGCACAGGGCAGACAAGGGCAGATCTTTAGCTATTCAGATAGAAACTAACTCAGTTGCAAAAATGTGAAAATCTGTTTTTCATATGCAATTGGAACAGATCTTTTAGAAATGTCCTATTTTTTTTTTTTTAATATTTTTTTTTTTTTTTATTATTAAAGACAGAGTTTAGTCTTGATAATAAAGTAGGACTCTACTTGCTTAGGAAGTGGGAATTTAGAAGCCAAGCCTCTGCAGCTCCTAAGCCAGCTTGTTTCCAGGCTGCCAGACTCTAGAGCCAGCTGGCTTCAATTTCTGGGTAAAGAGGCAAGAAATGGGACTCCAGTACAAATTTGTCAAAGTTGCATACTGTGTGGAAAATTCTGATTTGGGAAAAAATAATTATTTTGTTCTCTCATGGAAACTTCCATCTGGTTAGTTCTCTCTTTGCTTGTCTAAGAGATGTTCATAAAGAAAGAAGTATGTTCCATAATGCAATAAATAAAAACCAAGATAATTTGAGATTTTACAGGGGACAGTTACATGAAATATTTAATCATTTAAGCATAACTTTCATCATGTTTGATGTTAATGTCTTCAGATTATTGAAGCTTTCAGGATGGGAGCAGTAATATGAGATAATAAAAATCCTAACCCAGAAAGCAAAAAAATCCCCACACCTCCAGTACTATTTTTCATCGTTATTGGGAAAAGAGGATCCATGTGTGATTTCTTGAAATTTTAGTACTGAGTCATGTTATTTCAAAGATGCTGATATCCTTTTTGCTAAAAGGATGCAAAAAGTTTGAATTTCACAAGTGTGATTTTTATGTATAATGAAGCCTTCTGTCTTCAACTCTTGAACCAGCATTACAAAAATTGCCATTGGATTTAATTGATTTTTACATTTCCTTGTTCTTTTTCTGTTTTTAATTATATTAAATAATTCCTGTAGCTGTAATTGCAATTGGCTTCTGCTCAGATGTTATCTATCAATCAGTTACAATGGTCTGCTAGACAACATGGGATCTGATTCTTACAAGACAAGTTATTTCACCTTACCGCCTTTTTTGATGACTAAAATTTATGTAGAAATCCCCTCTATTTCTCTTTTGTCCATAATTCATTCACCTGAGGATCTGTAGCTGTTGATTGTAGTTTGGTTTAGTGTTTCTTCTTTTTGGCCATGTGTCATGCTTTGTGCTTTAAGAGGCTGACATCCAGTAAAACAGTTTTTGTTCAAGCACTGGGGTTTTTTTTTTTTTATTCTCTTCTATAGTTCTTATGTCTAGCATGAAAACTGGAGACAGCCTCACATTCATTGTATTACTTTGAAAATTCTCAACTTTCACCTTTCCTGGTTTAGAGAGTGGATCTCTTCCTACTTAATGCATGACATAAATCTAAATCAACTTCTAAAAAGCAAGGCTTTTGTATATGAGTCTATAAAATCAACCAGGTATTTCTAATTTATTAAATATATCCTGTTGGATGTGATCCACTGTTTCATTGTATTTCTCAAGGAAAGATGAAGAGTGCTTCAGAACCTCAGATTTGCTTGAGATTTGGATGCACATTGCTTCCCCTTTCTGCTTGCTTCCAAACTTAGCTTCTCAGTACAGTCAGGCATACTGGTTTGTGGCACTGTCACCTAAAATTTGGAGTTTATTGTAAAAATAATCTATACAAATGATCTTTCTCAATTTCTATTTGCAAACAATAAAATTCATCAGATACTTAGCTTGAGAAACTGCATACTTTTCTGAAAAGCAAACAGATACAAGAAGATCTGTAGAGTGGAAAAGTAATGGGGATGTTATAAAAATCAATAGTATTTCTTTTCATCCTTTCTTTCCCATTGCCTGAAGTACTGCAGAAAATAGTACCTGTCCATCATAAGAGAATGCTGCAGAATTAGAGGGACTTGTACTGATGATGATTGCATCTAAATCAGCTGTTTTCTTGTACCCTGCAAAGTTGAACTGAAAAATTAGACTTCTTGAGCTTAAGCATTCAGCTTTCTTTAACTTTTTTTAACAACTTAGACAACTTTCTTAAGAATGGAGTCTTAGTTACAGTAGTACTAATACAGGGATTGAAAAGGCTATAAAATGTTATTTGGTTCGAGTGTGTTTGCTGGCCTCTTTTTATTTATTCTAATTTTAAGAGATTTTTTAAGTTCTTAGTAACAGTTGTCCCTTCTGACTTCTGTTAATAGCAGAAGAAGGGGAAAAATAATTTAACTGAATGGAACGACTTTTAAAGCAAAATAATGCCATAAAAAGCAATTTTAAGGAAGGGAGGGAACGATTGAATAACTGAGTGACAACTTGAAATTTTTTCAGTTTTATTTTATTTTTAAGTTGAGATTTAAAAAAAAATTAGGAAAAACTACATACCTTCTGCACGTTATAGAGATTGCAATATGCAATATTTTATGACCTTGGAGAAGCTCTGAGAGATGCAACAGGACTTGTTGTATGTCACTGTTGGTTGGTTCTAAAGAATCAACCATTGTTCATGTCAAACTACAAATTTAAAATATGCTTGTCAACAGCACACAGAGTATAAAGACTCTGGAGTCTTTTCTTCTGTAATTCTGTGTACAAATTTAGCAAAATGAGACTTAGGTAATTCTTAAGGACAAGTACTGAGATGAAACAAGCATCTGAAAATTGCAACAATACTTTTAGTATAATGTGCTTTAATATTTCAGTTAAAGAATCTTTAAATATAAAAGTATTTGTGAGACCAAACTTTAACTTAAAGAAGAGGTTTTAAGTCAGTATATTACTTCTAGATAGGGTAAAATAGCTTGCATATTGAATCATTTTCCTCTGTTTTCCCCTGCTGCTTTAATGCTTGTTATACATGTGGGGACCTTTTGCTCTATGTTAGCATATTTCTTTTCCTCCGAACAGAACAGCACTTTTCTGATGTCGTACTTAGTGAAGAATACCTCAATCTTGGTGTAGAGCAGGTGTGCAGTCTGATATCCAGTGACAAACTCACAATTGCCTCAGAGGAGAAGGTAAAACAATCTGTATCCCATTATTCTTTTTATCCTTTTGTGTGAAAGAGCAAACTTGCTTCTACTGATCTTGTGCCCTTTTTCAGATGTGTTCTGTGTTTCCTTAGCAAAATTAGGCAGGTATTGTGCTTAAGTTTAAAGGATGTTTCCCAAAAGTGTTGTCAGTCTGATGTTGACAACTAGTTTCAACTCTTAAAAATCCTATAACTATATTAAATCACATTACCTTCTTTGGGGCAACAAAAAAAAACCAAAACCCAAAACTACATTAAATAGAAATTCCTTGTCACCTTTAAGCAGAACAACCAGAACACATGCTGAGTCACATCCACAGGAGTTTGATTTACCAAGGGATAAATAATTCCTAGTTGAAGAGCAATTATGTACCATTTAGTAACTTTAACATCAGCAGTTCCACAAAGGTATTAAAGCTCTGTGTGTATATGTGAGCTGTTTAACCTAACTGAACACATGTGGGTTGCACAGGAGATGACATGGCAGCTTGGTATTACCAAACCAGAGTTTAATGTGTGATGGCTCACCTTTAGCCTAGATCTCAATCTTTTAAAGCTATTTTTGAATAGCCCAGGGTGTCTCTGTAAACCTCTAATGATTTTCAGGTCGTGGATGTATTAATTTTGAGATTTTTAAATTCAGTTATGATCTATTTGAAATATGTTTCTTTTTTTCCGAGAAGTTTATAGTTGTACTCACATGAGGCTAAATTGTGTTCAAAAGCATGTTTGAACACTCATTTGTACAGTTAGGCAGTGTTTCATGTTTGAAACTTTGAATCTAAGAATTATCTGATTAAAAGCAACTATCAAAGCTATGTTGTTCTTCCTGTAATACCCTGAAGGTCTGGTTCTATCAGTTAAATACACGTGATGCTGCTTTTGTGGAGTATAATTAAGGTTTTAATGCTCTAGTCAATGATGACCTACTGTGCAATGGAGGCAAAACCAGGCTTGGAATGACTTGTCCTGCTAAGACTGAGTGATGATAAGTCATTTGAACTGTGATGTGGCAGATCAGTTCTCCAAGAAAGGAAGAAAAGTATGAGCACTGTAATATTCCTGCTGCTGTGTTGTTTGTTTGTCTAGTTTTCAGTATCAGTGAAGTCACTGGGTGCATTTTGTTAATGTAGCACAGCTATCCTTGAAACACCAGTTGAGAAGCAGATATAAAGAGACCAGATAATGCACCTTCATAATTTTATAGTTGATAAATATGGAAATAACGGGAGCTGTAACCATGCCATCTGTTCTTACATTAGGAGTTTTAGCATAAGGAAAACTCCTTTTGGAGGCACACTAATGTTTTCATGCTTATGAACTTGTAAGTCAAGAACTAGATTTGTTTGTTTTCTGGAAGGTATTTGAAGCAGTGATAGCGTGGGTAAACCATGACAAAGATGTGAGGCAGGAGTTAATGGCACGTCTGATGGAGCATGTTCGGCTGCCTTTGCTTTCCCGGGAGTATTTAGTTCAGGTAAGCGAAAAGGAATACTAATTATTCTGCATGTGAATACTTCTGTTCATTATTTTAATGCCAGAGAGATAACTTTAAATTTCAACAACAGTGTCATTAGTATGTTAGTGATAGAAAAAGTAAACAAACAGCCACTACCACCTACTCATATGCACATCCACCCACTGAGGTGAGAGATTGATTAGGAATTAATGACAAAGGAAGCATTCTTTTACCTGGTTCAGATAAAATAAATTTTTTCAAATTTTATAAGCTCATTTGGATATTTTGGTGTCAGGTCAAATATTTAAGATTGACAAGATGAGTTCAGTATTAACATTGGTTAGTAGGTTGGTAGGTGTTTATTTTAAAAATTCTGGTTTTGTGATACAAATCTCCAATTTGTGTGGATTGTTTTGGGTGGGATTTGGGTTTTTTTTTTTTTTTGCTATTGTGTTCTGTTGTGGTTTTTATTGTTGTGGGGTGGCTTATGAGTTTTTAAAATTATTCTCTGCTACTCTGCTACTTCCACCTTAAAATATTCTGTACTGTCTGTATTTAAAAAATTAATAAATGCGCCCAATTGTAAGAAATGTAACTGGGGACAATCCCAAGGGCAATTTACCTTCCCTATCACTGTTTCTTCCACTTGCTAATTAACAATCAGCATATTTTACATTTTTTTTTCTAGTGACTGCACATTTCCAACACAAATTTGTGTCCTACTGGTTAAATTACAGTCTTAAAAGTAGATTAATCTGTATTTGTGTGATAGATCATAGGCTTTAACACACTTTGGACTGCGATTTCTGCTTTACTTCCTTAACATGCTCAGACCTTGTTAAACTTCTATTAATAAACAGAGAGTTGAAGAGGAAATATTGGTTAAGAACAGCAGTGCTTGTAAAGATTACCTCATTGAAGCTATGAAGTATCACTTGCTACCAACTGAGCAACGGGCATTGATGAAAAGCACACGAACAAAATTGAGAACACCCGCCAGCCTTCCAAAAGTAAGGCCCTTGTTTTTCCAATGTATACAATTTCAAGCTGCATTTTAAAAATTTTCATGAGAGTATGACTGTGTCTTGGGGTATTCCTGTAAAAAAATTGTACCAGAATTATTTATTATAAAAATGTAACAAATGATTACCTTTACGCTCCATGCTACTTATGATATAGATGTTTTAGCCTCCTACTTAAACAGAGAATCACCACTACCTGCCCTCCCAGAAAACATTTTTTAATAAGTACTTCAGCTCTTTTGAGAACTATACAATTATGGAGAAGTAAGCCTGTTAAAAAAAACAAACAAAACCAGAACCCAAAAAAAACCCCAAAACAAAACAAAGAATGACTGAAGAGACTGATTGAGATTTTTTAAATTTAATCTTTAGTTCATTTTAGCAAAAACCAAAGATTAGATTCTTTCTTCTTTACAATAAAGTAAAGAAATTTTCTCTTAGTACTGTTGTGAAAATGGTAATAATGGAATAGGTGATTCAATTCAGCAGATTTAGTAGAACAAGATAAGGCTGTTACGTGATGGATGGTCACAGCTTCATTACACATCATAGATGGTGAATTCTCATACCTGAGATCACAGGAGGATGTGAAGATCCAGCAGGGTCTCCCTCTTCCGTGGGAGCTTTACCAAGATTTTGATTGCCTCCTGCTTTTCCACCCTTGGTATTTCCTCTGGACAAAAAAATTACATTTGTTTATAAAAAGCACTAACAATTTGGCCTGTTTCACAAGACTCAAATTTCTATAGGAGAGCCATCCTTTAATTATTTCTTGCACAGAAGCTCACTTTATTTTTAAACACTTTCTTGATCTTTCAGGTGCTCTCATATATGCAGATAACTAACAGTTGTTATTATTATCATCTCCCTGTTAGCTGATGATGGTAGTTGGGGGACAGGCTCCAAAGGCAATTCGCAGTGTTGAATGCTATGATTTTAAAGAAGAACGCTGGCATCAGGTAGCTGAATTGCCTTCCAGAAGATGTAGAGCAGGTAAGGATGCCTAATTTTTTTGTTGTGGTTGGTAATGCTTCAGAATTTAGGCATTGTATGTTCTCTGGAACAGTATTTGAGATATTTATCTAAGGGCTAAACTTTGACCTCACTGATTATTTGAATTACTTGCTAATCTTGAACGATACAACTTTGATCAATTGTGCTTAATTTGAGCATCAGTCTGCAATGTGTAGGATAAACTACTTTATTACCTCCCACAGAAACAAGGAATAAATAAATTTAAATATTAATGTATTGTAGTAAAGATTAATTTTGCCATTAAAATACCCTAATCTCATTAAATGATACAAAGAATGTGAAGAAGTGATAATCCACTACTGAAAACATGAACATGTGATCTTAAAGCTGCTGAGCGATTTAAGCAAGAAGAAATTCAGCAAGCCTAGTATTCAGGAATGTGCACTGTTAGCAAAAAGTGGTAGAAATTCTAGGGCTTAATCTGAATGAAATGTGGTTCTAGAGGACTGTCAAAAGCACGACAAGTGTAGTGAATACTGTAGTTTGTGTCAAGTATCTGCATACTTAGGACAGTCACAGTTACAGAATGCAGTTAATTGGCAGAGAGGCTGAAACACTCATCTGTCCTCCCCTGTCCCTGCTCTAGGAATGGTGTACATGGGAGGCATGGTTTATGCTGTTGGTGGTTTCAATGGCTCTTTGAGAGTTCGTACAGTAGATTCCTATGATCCAGTGAAGGACCAGTGGACAAGTGTTGCCAACATGCAAGACAGGAGAAGCACACTGGGAGCAGCTGTATTAAATGGCCTTCTTTATGCTGTGGGAGGATTTGATGGGAGTACAGGTATGTTTGCCTGAGACACTTCTGAATAACTTTGACTACTCTTAACATAATTGTTTCAAATTTTAATGCCTCTTTTTGCTGGTACTTGTGGTGAAACCAAGCATGAGGGTAGCCTAGCATCTTGTGGTGTGGAATGTGCTTAAGTGATCACATCCCCCTACCTGAACAGTGGACTGTTTGCTCCTAAGAATTCGGGCTTAAAAACTAGTGAACTTTTGGCAAGTTTGCTTCCAGTATTCCTTCTATAGTCAGAGTCCTTAACTTGTGGAAGATATGAGAGAAAAATTATCTGATCTGGTTTGTCCTGTTTGCACAGGAAATTGATTTCTGCATTTTCATGTAGTGTAAATAAGATTATAAACAACTTTTTCTGACCTGTGAGAAAGCTTTAGACATACACTGTTCATTCCCTATTTAGATGCATTAAACAATTAGTGCAGAAGTGATCTTTTTGCTGAATAACTATTATAAAAGCATATGTAGGAGAAAGCATGTGTCTTAATTAAAAAGAAAATAAAAAATCCAGGGAAGAAGTTTTCAAAGCTCCACAGAAATTTTCAGTAATTTGCCCATTTTCAGACATGAAGTTGGGTTGACTGTAATTGCCTGTCTAAAGAACAAAAGGTTGTGCTTTTTGTTCAGTATTTAACAATCCTTAAAATGAAATAATTTGAGTTTTCAGATAAAAAGAGTTTCCTGAAAGGTAGATAGTATGTTGCACCTAGATTTATAGAGAAAATGTTATATTGTCTTCATAGGTTTGTCATCAGTCGAAGTTTACAACTTAAAGACTAACGAGTGGTTTCATGTAGCTCCAATGAACACAAGAAGAAGTAGTGTTGGCGTAGGTGTTGTTGGAGGTAAGTTGACAAACGATATTAAAAAGAACAGAGGGAAATGTAATCATTTACTCTACTAGTTTTTTTTACTTCTGAAAACATGCTTCAGATTTATGTTTTTGCTCAACCTTGTAATTCAAATGCTATGAACATTATGTAATCATTTACTCGGGTTTTACCAGTTTTTAGCATAGTAGTTTTAATTTTTTTCAGAGCTTCAGCTGTGGCTAAGGCCAACTGAGGAAAACCTTGCTAAGCTCTAGGTTATGTATGTCAGCAAAGTCAGAGAGCTGACGTGATGGCCTTATCATTTGGTCTTTAGTGATGCAGCACTGCTTTATTGTCCGTTCTGTTATCTGTGGCTGACCTTGCTGGCTGCACGCTGGGGACAATCCCAAGGGCAGTGCCAGGAAAATGCTGACTTTTCAGTCAGCTTGGTGGTGAATAGCCTGGATGTCACTTGCACAATGGAGATCTGGCCTGGGTCTTGGATCTTAAAACAGTTTTAGGGGTGAATGTGCGCTTTAACTGCATAGAAACCACTGCTGTTTCTAATCTGAAAATGCAGACTGTATGAGTGATTTTCAACTAAATTTCTGATATTCCTAGGAAGCTTATTTGTCAGCTTCCAGTATCAAACATACTTGAAATAGCTTGCTTTTGAGCAATGCCTAATTAAAAACCTTACCTTTGTATTTCAGCTAGGCAATTTAAAATATTTTGACTTGCATTGTTGTTGATAGATACTGGGTGCCTTTTACATCCTAAAAACGACAAGACTGTGGCATGCTAACCTAAACTGTGTACAGTATGGAATCTCAGTAAGTGATTGACAGGTGCTGATTAGTAGCTAATTGGAGAGCAATGCCTTTCCTCTTTGCCGGTGTGGCAGTCCCTGCATGTATTTTAGCAGCTGGCAGGCTCCTTTGGTTCCCCCAGGGAAGCTGTATGCTGTTGGTGGCTACGACGGAGCGTCACGGCAGTGCCTTAGTTCAGTGGAATGCTATGATGCCAATTCCAACGAGTGGAGCTACGTCGCAGAAATGAGCACCAGGCGGAGCGGAGCAGGTGAGTGGACAAGGATCAGCTGTCCTTGCAAAGATGAAAACACGTGGGTTTAAAATGTATCTAAAAAACATGAAAGGTAAGCTAAAGTCTGAATCTAATGGAATGTGCTAGTCCTAGATGGCTGATACACAGCAGGTGATAAAAACAAAACTGTTCCACTGAGTAAGATTCAGTCTGTTAAGAGTAAATATCCCTCTTTGTTTTTTCATACTTTCATATTCCTCCTCTTCCCACAACTTCTGATGGTTTTTAACATACTGACTGATACTCATGGATTGTAATAATCACTATCACCTCTATTCTTAAATATCAAAATCTATACAGCAAGCATGAAAAAATGTCTTTTCTACAGGGAACTCTTTGCCAGTTAGGGCTGATTATTCTAACAGCATTTTCAGGTTGACTTTACGTGTGAACTGTGACTAGGTTTCCACCTCTTTGGAGGACTTGTTCTGCATTCTGATTCACTGCAGGAAATTTTGTCCTTGTTCATTCCTAAGTTTGTATAACTGGTTTCATCCTATTACTTCCACTTATGTACCCTTTATTTCACCTTCAGTAATTCTTTTCATCACCTGGTGTTTGCATCCTCTGTACATGTACAGCCTACTCCATGTTATCCTTCCTTATCATTTAGCCAAGGTATATCCATTTATTTCTATATAATCTTAAAAATCCCCTTTTTTTTTTTTTCTTGTGGATTTCTTTTTTTCCTTCTTGCAATTCTGAGTGTGTATATTTCTCTTTAAAGACATCTTTAAAAGTGCCTATGGTATTCCACTTTTGTTTAATGAAATTATGCTTCCACAGCTCCAAATTGACTTTAGCATTTTCATTATCTATTAATATTATGGACTTGAATCTCATTTACTGTTCACTGTCCTCTATTTGTCTTTTGGTATTTCAGGTTTTTTCAACTCGCAGAAGTTGTTTTATTTCTCTAGATGCGTTCCCATGGACTTTTTCAAGTCAAATTCCATGATATTATTTTCTACATTTATTTTTTAGTAGTTAAGTCACTTTTTTTGACAAGTACTTAATGGTGGTTTTTAGCAACACCCTTCAAGTATCTACTGGTGATTGCAATAATGTGCTTCATAATGGGAAGAGATATTGCTACAAATAAATCTGAATGGACTTCTAGTATGCTCAGTATATGATTAATAATTACCCTAACTTCTCATCTTACCTTCCAATATTCGTTGTTAACTCTGAACAGTTTTTACCTATGTAATAAATTAAGTTCAAATAATTTCAAAAGAAATCTATCAAAGTACTAAATTCATTACTAAAATTGATAGTCTTTGATACTTCCATCATATCCTTACAAGATCAGCAAGCTGATAACTCTTATTACTAGAAGTCACATTTCAATTGTATTTCTAAACTAAAACTTTGATGTTAATGAAGGAAATATGATACACTAAACCTCAAGAAAACACAGTTGCCTTGTGAAACTTCTAGTAACTCAGTCTGTGCTTCTTGGAAGTAAATTCTGGATTAAAAACTGGACAGAGTTGCAGTAAGGGTACTGGAAAATATTCCTGTCTAATATTGGCAAGTTTTGAGGAAAATATTGATATAAAATGGGCAAGTTACAAGAATACTTTTAAAGACAAATAGTGTTGGTGGATTGTGACAAAGTTTCATTTTGCAGTCTGCCTGCACACACATTTTGTTTCAGCATTTGGGGTTTATTTTTTGATATTCTGTTTTTGCAAACTGTTGTTGTGCATGTAGCCTATTTATATAGTAGATGTTTTCAGATTTTTTTTTTAATGTTGAATTTCTTCTACAATTCTGAAATTTAGTTCCTTAAATATACTAACTACTGGGATCTTCCTGCCCCTCTCCTCTCTTCCCTTGTCCCTGTGTTTGCTTATTTAACTCTCTTCTGCCTTTAAACTGGTCCACTGATTAAAAAAAATGGAGAGGAAAACTAAATGTAGACAGTTATTCCAGTTTCATATAATTGAGTAAAATAATCAACATTATTCTGTGCCACTCTGTTAAATACATGAAAAATTATATTTTTGCATGGCAGAGGATGGGAATGTGAAAATCGTGACTGTTGATTGAGCTTGGCTGTAGAGGCCAAATAGCCAAACCCACCAGAACTGTTTCAACCGGCAATCAGTCCTGGTGGTGTTACGGGGGCTCACTAAAGAAAATTTTGTTCCTGTATTCAACTTTTGGATGTCTGGTCATCTCAAAGAACTTAAGCTCATCTCTTCTGTTCCTACTGCTTCAGCTTCACTCAAAAGCAACTTTTCAGAGGTTAACCCTCAGTTACTCTTCTTTAGTACCCACTGCTTCTCAGTTGATCAATACGGGGACAGATCTGTTTCCAGCAACATATTGGGAGGAGGAACTTCAGATCCAGATATAGGCCATTTGGGAGGGCTGAGAGATATAAGACAGGGTCCTGAAAAATGGGCAGGAAAGAAAAATAACAAAGAAAGGAGAACTCAGAAGACGGCAACAAGAGGATACAGACGGAAGGAGCAAGAAATAAGGTAGGACCTGGAAACTGGGTGTGGGATTAAGGGAAAATGAAGCACCATGGAGGAACGGAGGACATTTTTAAAAATAAGGAGCTATGAAAGAAAAAGGTGGCAATGGGGCAGAGGGAAAGCTCTACACACTGAATAGGAAGGCCAGTAACTATTGAAGGCATGGGTGGGGGGATTTATGTCATATCCCATATTTAAACTGAAAATATTAGCCCTCCTCCTCCTAGCTCTGTAATATTTAATTCTACAAAAGATGAATGTTGTACTATCCTGTCTAATGAAGTGTGATCAGAGTGGGAGAAGGAAAAGTTGTCATACTATACTGTGGCATGATAGCTAGAAATAATAGCAATAAAAGAGGAATTAAATTAACTGGGAAGGATATGGGGAAATGCTAGTAGTGAGTATCACTGATAAAGCACTAAATAGCATGATTTATAAGTGTCCTATCAAGAAGCTATTTTTCAGATTTACAGTACCAATTAGCTTCCATGTTTCCTTTCTCTTGTCTTTAATTATTAAAATCAGTCTCTTTAATAAGAAAATTTAGTCATTTCAGCAGGAGTCGTTTGTCTTCACATATAGAAATGGCTCTTAATTACAAAATTAGTGATATGTTTTTAAAGATATTTCAGCTCGTTTTTAAGGTCTCGGGGTTCTTTTTTTTTTCCTTTTTTTTCCTCCTTTTTTTTTCTACCTCCAATATTTTTTTTTTCTTTGAGGGACTTACCTGATTTTTTGCATTCATATTTGTTGTTTCCCTTTAAAAAGATTTTAAGTGGTTCCATGAAATACTTTATGAGCTATATTTGCAAATCTGTATCTCTGCTTTGAGTTTCATAGTCTTAAATGTGGCATTTATTAGATTTCCCAGTATACTTTCATAGAAGTGCTTTTTTAGTTGTCTTTATGGTCCATCACTCAGAAGTTTTAATGCAAAAAAAACCCCTACGTTTCTGAAATTTATTATGTTTTGGTTCTAATGCGTTATAAAGGGAGTAATAAATAAACAGGCCTCTCTTTCTGCTTCCCCCATTTCCATCTTTTCAATATGTGCAGCCCAAATAGCAAGCAGATAGATCTAGCTTTACTCACGCCTTCATTCCAAGCTCACAGATTGATAAACTTTTGTTGTAAAGTAAAGGAGACCTTAGGATTAAAGGACACCCTTTAATATCCTTTTGGATATTTTGATAACTGAAGCTTGGTTCAAAGACGCTTGGTGTTCTTCAAATCCCAGAGAAGGTACTCACTGCTAACTGTTTAATTATGTTCCATCTGTTTACAAGGTATTCCAACACTTCAGTGGAAACATCCCTATTGTATAATGTCTATCCATTCAGCTTTTATCCTCTGTACTGCGCAGCTTTTACTTTCTAAAAGTTCACTTACACTTTATCATCTTGTCAGATTTCTGTTATGCTGGCTGAGCACATTGTCTCATTTACTGTCACTTCTAATTAGTCCTAAATTTCAACAAGCCTCATTTTCCTGCACGTCATTTTTCGTCCAAAATTTTCTAAATCTTCTGTTGCAGAACAGCTCTGGTCTTTGTATGCTGCGATATGGTAGATGGGCACGCAAGGCATTTTATCAGAGTCTTGCTGTAGTTACTGTCTCTCTGCTTTAATGCATCCTGACCCAAATGTTTTCTGAAATAGTTTCCAACATTGACTTAATGAAGGATTTATGTTAGCTGACATATTTGTTGTTTCTCCTTCGTATCGTTCAAATAATTCTCTGGTTAATTCTGCGTATTTTCATATGTTTGCAGGTGTTGGTGTGTTAAACAATTTATTGTATGCAGTAGGTGGTCATGATGGTCCTTTGGTAAGAAAAAGTGTTGAAGTGTTTGACCCCATTGCCAGTACCTGGAAGCAGGTTGCAGACATGAACATGTGCAGAAGGAATGCAGGTATGTGCAACAATGACTAAAATTGTACCAATGTCAATTGTCAATGGCATGTACCTGGACTTCTGCTGCTTTCATAAAAAAACATGATTTTGGGGGGTTGTGGCAGTCAATTACTAATTTTCATTGTGGTTTTCTGCCCTTTTTCAGGTGTTTGTGCTGTAAATGGTCTCTTGTATGTAGTTGGAGGAGATGACGGTTCCTGTAATTTATCAACGGTGGAGTATTATAATCCAACAACTGATAAATGGACGGTTGTGTCATCTTGTATGAGTACAGGAAGGAGTTATGCAGGTAAGGCATAAAAATATTTTTAATACACTTTTTAAAGTAAAACATTTGACAAAGCATCCAAACAGAGTCTTGTCTAAGGTAGAATCTAAGATAATAAAATGGGTAGGAAGAAATTGATGTACATTTTGAATGATGACTTCAAATAATTACTCACTACAAGGAAAAAAAAAAGGATTAAAGTGTACTCAAGAATGATTTAGCACATAAGTGGTGAGTCAGAAAGATGATTCTGGTATGACCAGTTTTTTAACAAGAAATATGTGTCTCAATCCAAGGGGTCCAATTCCAAAGTTCTTTGGGATTTGATATTTAGAAAATGAGCTGTTTCAGGAATCTTTTCCTTCAATAACTGCAGTTTTTCAAATGAGTTATTTAAGTGAATGTTAAGAATATATTTCACTGATAGCAAAATTTAACTTGATTAGTCACAGAAACTTTCAGAACTTGGCACTGATTCAGACAGCTTTGTGTCAAAGAGAAATTAGGGGAAAATATGTACATTGTTGCTGGTGCATACTTAAATGCTATTTGCAATGTATCTTTTTTTAATTTTAAAAACAATACTGCCTAAAGATTTATCCCTTTTTCTCCTCCTCCCTCTAGGTGTTACAGTTATTGACAAACCATTATGATCAGTAAAGCGATTTTCAACTTGATTATGCACTAGAAGCAGTCTTCAACAAGTGTATTTGAAGTGACTGAGTATCTAAGCACTTCTCTACTTGTAGCTGCACCTTGAGTCACAGTGGAAGATGTGACTGTCTACAATTGCAGATGACAGATGATGAAGATTACTCTAGGTAGAAGCAATTTGTAGGATTATTCTGCAGTTGAGCAGAAGCTGATTGAACTTTTGAAGTCTGGTGGACCATTTTTTTTATTGCAAGGTCTTCAGAGAAAACCCAACACTTTCATAAGGACCAGCTTCTGTCAGTCATGACTGAGAAACGGATTGTGAGTGAAGAATGGTGTGTATTCTGGTGAAAGTAAATTTTTGTCTTATTTTTTCCAGAGACTAATAAATATATTTAAGGAAATGAACTGTCAGTCTTCATTGTAGGTACTGAATCCCACCTCAGTAATTCAAACTGGCATGGGGTACATTTGTTTCCTTTTATAAAACTTTTGTTACGTAACTATACTACGTGCATATGTTTGTGTGAGCATAAGTTGCTCTCTACTGAAACTCTTCAAAACCTGATTTTACTATTTATAATTTGGCACAGTACTTTGAATATGTCAGTACTATGTTGTAAAACAGAGATGTATTTTTTGATATGTAACAATGCTTAACACTAATTCCCGCTGAAGGAGATCAGAGATGGTTTAACACTTCTTGAGCAGGTGTAATTTCAGTATCTTTTTAATAAAAATGTTGTCTGTACTTACAGGGTTTTTTTTTTTTTTTTCCTGTTCAATTTTGGTCACGTTTAGATGTTAATTCTTTTTTACCTTTTTATCCAAAAGGTGATTTGGCATGAAAATAACTGAAAATTTATAGTGAATGTATGCAATTGCGTTGAACTTGCATGGTACAAAGGCCTATTTATGTGTGTAATCTCAGCTTCTATTAGCCAATATCTGAATACACTGTATATGGCCATGCTTATACAGCAGCACATTTTTATTTGTTCTTGGATGGCCTCCTTTTAACATGACCAAAGTTACTGTCATATTTGAGACATTTTCTTCAAATAAAAGTTTGTACATTGTTTCCTAATGCCAACAGGTCGCTTAAAACTTGTGTTTCTCAATGCAAGTCTCAAACCAGATAATCAGTGAATAAACGGGGGCCGTGGGGCTGGGGGGAAGGAGCGGGCGAAGCTGGTGTTGTACAGGTCTGCATGCCAACGAACTGAGAATTGCTGGGGGTTAGGAGGCGGTCAGTGAACATCGCTGTTTGCCGCAGCTGTTCCTGAAAGCTGCGGTGTCCTGAGTGCAGGAATGGCCACCGCTGGCTTCCCGCGAAAGCGTCCGAGCTGTGACACTGGTGACAGGGCCGGAGTCACGTAGGTGCCCGAGTCCATGTGACGCGCGGTGGGGCGAGGCAGGGCTGGGAACGGGAACGGGAACCTTCTATCTGAATCGCACCCTTCACCCGCGTGACACCAACGGGACTGCGGCTGGGGGCCGCTGCTGACATGGCGACACCGCCGCCTGTGCACTTCCACCTTTTCGTTAACGCGGGAGCAGGGAGCGGGCGCAGGCACCCGCAGGGCTGACACCGCGTCCCCCCGCAGGCACTGGCGAGCAGCGGCGGGAGGCGGCGAGCGGCGCTCCCGGCCCCGCCACCGAGCCGCTCCCGGAGCCGCTGCCGCGCCCGGCCGGGCCCCGCCCCATGGCGTCGTGCGCGTCACCTGCTGTCCTCCCTTCCCATTGGCCGCGGGCCGGGGTCTCACTATCCTCACTCCACCCCTCCAGCCAATGGCAGCGCGGGAGCCGCCGCCGCGGCCCCGCCCCCCGCCCGCCTGACCCTGCGCCGCTGCCTCCCGCCGGCCAATGGGGCAGCGCCGGGCGGGGCGCGCCGCTGCCGCCGCCAGGTGAGGGGCGAGGGTGTCCGGGGCTGTGGGTGCCGGGTGTGGGTGCCGGGGTGCGGGCTCCCCGAGGGAGCGCATCTCTCCTCGGCGTTCCCCATCCGTGGGTGGCGTGTGCCGGTATGTGTCCGCCGCCTGGCGGGGCCGGGCGGGACGGAAGAGCCCCGGTGCAGCCCGGCCGCTGGCTCCGCGGCTTCCCGGCGGCGTGTTCGTGGGTGGTGCCGATGGTTTAGTTGCCTTGCGCTTCCGTCCGCCCAGGAGCTCGGGCTGTGCGGTGCCTTGGCGTCTGCGGCGCTGCTTTTGCTGTCGGTAAGAAGCGGCAGCATCGCGGTGCTGTTGCTAAGGGAGAAAAACCATAACTGAGGTTTTGGATACTGGTTTGGTGTGGTGCTTAATATGTGAGAGTTAATTACACATTGGAATGGGCTGTCCGGGGAGGTGATGGAGTCACCCTTCCCGCAGGGCTTTAAGGATGTGGCCCTTGGTGCCGTGGTCCGGTTGATAGGGTGGTGGTGGGTTATGGGGTATGGGTTATAGGTGGGTCATGGGCACAGGGTCTCGGAGCTCTTTTCCAGCCTGCGGGTACGTGATTTGTGTCAGATTCGGCCTAAGTGTGCCAGCTGAGGATGGACCCTGTCCTCTGGCCTGTGAGTTGCAAGCCTGTGTGAGAGTGGAAGATGGACCTGTTAAAGGGGTCCAGAGGAGGGCACTGGGAATGGTCAGAGGGCACATCATCAGTGGGGACAGGCTGGAAGAGCTGGGGTTGTGCAGGCTGGAGAAGAGAAGGTTCAAGGGACACCCTACTGTGGTACATAAACGGGGCTTTTTGCTGAGGCTTGTAGTGACAAAGTACAGGGCAGTGTTCTTAAACTAAAAACGGATAGGTTTAGATTTGGCATAAGAATGATGTTTTTTACAGTGAGAGTGCTGAGACACTGGAAAAGGATGAGCAGAAAAGTTCTGTATGCCCTGTCCCTGGAAGTGTTTGAAGTCCAGGTGGGATGGTGCTTTGAGCCACTTGATGTCCTGAAAAATGTCCCTGCCCATCCCAAGAGGGTTGGATTGTAAATGATGTTTAAAAGTCCCTTCCTGGCCAAACCAGCAAGGAGCCTAGTCTGTGGAAATGGCATGAGTTCAGGGCACCTGCAGAAATGCAGCCTCTGTGGTTTTAGGAGCTGTGAGGAAAAGTCCATTACTGAGGGAAAGGTGGAATGCCTCAAGCAGCTGCAGTGTTGATGTAATTTGCAGGGATTTTGGTTCACAGCCATGAGAAAAATGGGACTGGATAATCAAGAGATCACAGTTAATTAATCTCTTAAATATTTTTTGAACTTTCCCGTTGCTATTTTAATACAGAATATAATTATCCTGCAAAAGCCTTGAAATAAATTTGGGTAGTAATTAATTCTTCTTTATCCTTCTGCTCCCTTGACATAATCTCAAACCTAGGAGCTGATTGCCTCTCAAATTGGTTTGCCTCTCAAACCAATCTAAAGTTTTGTTCTTTTAGGCTGTTCTGTATGAAGAGAATCTGTCTTTCCTGTCCTTTCTCAGCTTTTAATTTCAAACTAGGTAACGACTCTATCATGTGATTTTTTTTTCTCTGAATATTAACTTCTGTTTATTGAATTTTTCTCAAAATTTGCAGGTTACTTACAGACAACTACAGAAGAACTGTAATTGTGATGTTTTATGATTGAACCATGGCCATGAATGACAGCGTTAATATCTTGAACTCTGCTTATCTGGCAGTGGAATATATAGACTCCTTCTTACCTGACAATCCCCTGCAGCAACCATTTAAAAATGCCTGGAATTACATGCTGGATAACTACACAAAGTTCCAGATTGCAACTTGGGGATCACTTATAGTTCATGAAGTTTCATACTTTTTGCTCTGTGTACCAGGATTTATCTTTCAGTTTATACCATACATGCAAAAGTATAAAATTCAACAGGTAAGAGAAAGTTATGAAGTATACACTGACTTGTCTTTGAACATACCAGGCAATCACATTATCCTGTTTATCATCACAGTATCATCAATGTATATGGTTCCATTTCATCTGTCACTTGGACATCCTGAAAACAACAAAGTAAATTTACTCTGTGTACGAGGAGAGAAAGAGAAGTGGATTTTAGGGAAGAAAAGTAGTTTTTTTTTCTCCTGA